AAACCCCAAAACCCCAAAACCCCTTCTGAAACAATTTAGATGAAAATTAGGATCAATAGAATATAAAACTAATCACATAAACTTTTTCATCGGGTTTTTAGAATCATGTCTGCTTAACATTTGCATGGACTCTTCATCAATCATATTGTGTCTCCCGAATGAACCATCCATTATTTCCTGCATATACTATCCTCTGTTACCGTCATAAATCTTATAGTTCTCTAGTAAGCCATTCAATAGCTCGAATCCTTTTGTCACACTTGCAAGGAGATTCACTGCTGCGATATCTGAATACTCACTGAAAGCGTTTTTATCATAGTTTTCTCTAGTTGTGATTGGCAGTGAAGAGCAAATTTGATTTAAATCTCTCATAAATTAATGATTTTTGCGTACTTCCTCAGAATTCTTGACGATGTCTATTAAGAACTTTACTTTTCTTCTGAGTAATTTGACTGCATTGACTGAAGCTTGCATATTTTGAGAGAGAGCTGAAGTTTTAGCGTTTTAATCCACAGCTTAGGCCACATGATCTACTGCAATACGCTCTGAATCAGATTAAGCGAGTTTGAAGTCCATAGAAACAAACTTTGACTGGAAATTATCGTAATCATACAAGAAGTAAGGAAGCTTATTCTAATCATGTGCTATTTATGACTCTGGATTCATTATCAATAGAAGAGGATTCTCTGTGAATTTCTGCATTTTCCTTTGAACTATCTAATCAGCTTGAGTTGGCAAATCTTGATTCTTGGTGTCAGAGGTGTACCATCCTACACAGTCTAGTTCAGGGAAGTTCTTCTTATATGCCTCAATTCTTGATGCGCAGAATTGCTCCTCTGGGGCGATTGATCCTTCTGATTCTGGCACAATTTTAAAAGAGAATTCCACAGTGTTTACAATCTCAAGTACACGACCGTTTTGTTTACCAAGGAGGGCTCCAACAACTCTAAGTTTATTTGGACTGTCCTTAAAAGATAAATACTTGGCTCTGGTGAAATGATCTGAGATATTAAGGATGGCAAGTGGATGGAGTTCGATAGATACACTCATATTTTTTCTAAATTATAATTCTATCTTAACTTGACTCAAAATATTTGGTTGAGGGGTTTTGGGGTTTTGGGGTTTTGGGG